ACCTGTTCTTAGGGTCACCATGAACCACATGTGCAGCTTGACATCCCGCTGGGTGGGAACCCCTGCTTGAAAGCACTGCTCCGAAGGAAACTTGTAAAAGCACATTCTTGACGTAGATCCTCGGCTTGCCTGGGTCCTGCTGCCTCAGCCCCTCCTGGGGTCGGGGTGGGGTGAAGGCCTTCCCCCTTGGTCCCTCCACATGGGGGTGGGTAACTGTCAGTTGCTTTGATGTCTGTGCCTGCTTGGGGGCCTAAAATGCCTCCCCCTGCCCCTATGGCTCTCCCTGGCTTCATCTCTCTACTTTACCCCACCCCCTTCCTAATCAGGGTGCTCTGTGGGAGCTCAGAGAGGGGACACGTCCATGGAGGAGGCAGTCTGCTGGAGTTAAGATTAGAGGAGATCTCAGCCCTTCTTAGGCCTCTACGGGCAATACAAATAGTTCAGTGCTACACTCTTGAGCAGGAAGGGCAGCGGTTAAAACACAGCCAGCCACAGGCACCTCGCAGTGCAGGACTGGGACCTGCTTCTGAAAGGCCACTGCTGTGAAAACTTGGTGGGGCGTCTGTGTGTCTTTGGGAGCGTCCAGCCTGGCAGTCGGCCTGTCCACCGAAGACTGTTCTTGTTCATAGGGAAAGCTGTCACCATCTAATTGGTGTCACAGTGCGCCTTGCACAAGTCACATTCATTCTTACAAAACAAAAACCCCTCGTGAGACAGTTCTGCTCTGCACAGGCGGGGTTGCCCTGACTTAGCTGCGATTAACAGCTGCCCGAAAGAGCCGCAGACTCGAACGGCCATGTGTTCAAATCCTGACTGGATCGAGACTCTGATCCAGGAAACCTCTGGCTGATTCCTCAGTGATTTGGTGAGGAGCCCGGAGTGCAGACGCCAAGGGATGCAGGAAGGGAATATAGAAGTAGCCAGCTAACTAGTCTTCACATGAGCACAGTGATGGATGGATGGGACTGGGATTTGGACATTACGGGTCACCTGATTCTCACCCCCACCCCCTTTGGCATGGGAGCCTTGGTGGCTCAATGGTGCCCCTGTGGTTAATTGTTTTCATTTTTGAGAAGCACCATTATAGGTGCCAGGAAACAGGATAGAGGGGCTGGGGGGACACCAGTTTGCAGCTCCTCCTGGGACATGCCCAGCCCCTAGCAAAGAAATAAGGGTTTCTCCCGTCTCCTCCCGCTGCCTCGGTTCTTCCTGTCAGTCAAGGTCCCCTGCTAATTCTAATAACTGCCCCATGTATCTTGTGTCATCCCTTTCCCGTTAACTCCCCCAAATTACCCTCTTGACCTAGTGTCTCCCTTTCTCTCTCACCCCGTTTCTCTCCTCAGACAGCCCCAGGGCCTTATCCCGAGAAGCGGGTCCACTGGTGTGGGGGGCCGTGGGGGGTACACTCCTGGTGCTGCTACTTCTGGCTGGGGGGTCCTTGGCCTTCATCTTGCTGAGGAAGAGGAGGAGGAGGAAAAGCCCTGGAGGAGGAAGAGGCGACGACAGTGGAGGGTCACACGATCCCAAAACTCAGGTGTTTGGAAACGGGGGGCCCGTTTTCTGGACCGCAACAGCCTCAACCGCCCCTGGTCCGCTGAGGCCTGAGGACAAGGAGGAGGATGAGGAGGATGAGGAGGAAAAGGCCGAGGAAGGCCTGATGCTGCCTCCGTCCAAGGCGCTTATGGAAGATGACATGGAATCACAGCTGGACGGCTCCCTCATCTCACGACGGGCAGTCTACGTCTGACCTGGAGATGGGCAGACAGACAACTGGGAGCCCGCTGCCACCGGCCCTGCCAGGAAGGCCCTGGACTCGTTGGACCCATTTGTCTGGACCGCACTGGAGTCAGAACTCTTTGCTCCCTCCCTTCCGTGCTGGGATTTGGAGAGGAGGGGGACCTACACGCTGGACTGTCCTCGGGGCCGCATGGCGGGTGGGAGACCTCTGGGAGCTCCATATTGGGGACCCAGAGGAGGGAGCCCCGAGACTGGTTTTGGCTCTGGCCTATCCCCTCCATTGCCACTCAGGATTGAAATAAACACCTTGAAGGAAACCTGTGGGGATGTCTTGGACCCTTCCTGAATTGGTGTGGTTGCTGATGGGGGCAGGGGCTAGTGGGTGCTGCCGAAACATGACATTTTGGCTCCCGAGACAACTTGGACGGAGGGCCTAGCTCAGTGGTGCCAAGGGGAGTGGGGTTCAATGGGAAATACTTGGGTCTTTGCAAGACACAGTAGATGTCTGTGGCCCCCCCAGATGAAGGGGCTGGGGACCAGGTCAGTAGGGTCTGGGCTTCCAATATCCACACGTTTGTTCCACTTGGAATTGGCTGCCCTGATGGGAATCTTGGTTCCTGGATGTGCCGGGCGTTGTTGGATCCACAGCAGGAGTGCCCTACTTCCTGGGGCCCCATGGGGGTGCCCCACGAGGGATGGTGGGGGTGGCCACACCCACTCAGGACTGTCTCTGCTTCCTTCCTCTTAACTTGCCCTGGTGGAGTGGGGGGGGGGTGAGGGGTCCTTAAATTCATGGGAAGGGTGGGACTCTCCCACAGTGCCACACCCACTCCAAATAAATTTCCCGAAACCACCCACAGAGGGTGTACTGGGACTGAAAGGGGCTGAGTTTGGAGACCAGCTCTTGGAACCTCAGTCTCCACCTTTGGGAAATGGGTACGTTGTTAGTGTCTGGTTGTTTGGGGGATTCAAAAAGCCCTTGGTAAAGTGCTGAGCACAAAGTAATCTCTACTCAGCCCAGTGTTGGGGCTTTTTGCTGCCACTCAGTGGGTCCTGACTGGGTGGTGGTAGGGACAGAGACATGTCAGTCATAACAGCTAGAGTAACAGTAATTTGAAAGATGAATTGTGGGGTTGAGGAGCAATGACTGTCATCCCTCTCACTCTTGAGTCCCTCCTGAGGCTTCCAGGCTGCAGAACGTGGAGGACGAAACCGGACGGCCCTGGGGTGGCTGGAGGGAGGGACTCTGGTGACATAGTCTGTAGCGTACTGTGCTGTGAACCTGACGGTGGCACCTCGGGCGGTTCAACTCCGCCAGTGACTCTGCAGGAGAGAGCAGAGCGATCTCCCTTGAGATGCAGACTCAGAAAACCAGCGAAGGGTCAGCTGTGAGTTGGTTTCAGCCTGACGGAAGGGCGTTGCCAGGAATCCCTGAAGACAGGATGTGTATTCTTTTCCCATGAAGATTCCCAGCCTGGGAAGCCTGTGGGGAGGGGAGGCGGGGTGTGTGTGGGTGTGGGAAAGCTGTGATTGGGGGCTGACTGAACGAACAGTGAGTTTGGTTTTTCAGTTTGGAACCCTTGAGTGTTAACAGTTAAACGGTGAAAGCTGGAGGTTCAAATCCATCAGAGGCAACTTGGAAGAAAAGTCTGGCCATCTGTCTGGAAAGGGTCCAGGAAACACCCAAACCTACTGCCAAGGAGTCAGAGGAGCCCTATAGGACAGAGCACGGTTTTTAAGGCTGGAACCTTTGTGGGAGCACAGTGCCTCATTTTTCTCCCCTAAGGTGCCCAGCTCTCTTGTTAGCAGCTGAACACCCCCAGGTCACGTAGGCCTTGAAAATCCTGTGGCGTTCATACACATCGAGGCCCCGCCATGAGCCCAGTGTGATGATGGCAGCTGCTTTGGTCTTTGGTTTGTGGTCCGACGACATTTCCTCTGGGAAGCTCTGCGTTCTCATCTGCAGAATGGGTCCAGGGTAATGAGTGCAGTCCAGGGGTCTTTTTGCACGAGTGTTCCTGTCCCCTGCCAGCCTGAGGGAGGCTGGGGCGGAGAGTTTCTCTGCATCCCAGAGGCAGCTGGATGTAGTATACGGCAGGCACGCATGCAGGGCCTCTACTTAGAACACGTACTGTGTGCCAGACCCTGGGCTGAGGATGGTGGGACTGGGGGGTGCTCCAGCCTCAGGCCCTGGGGTGCGCCTGTCTAGGGTGGATGTGAGCAATCGGGTGAAAGTTCTAAGAGGAGGGCCCTGAACATCCGGAGCCCCCGCATCCCTTTTCCTGTTAAGTTAGGGGTGCAACGACCCATTCAGGACAATTCTATCCCGAACAAGGGTGTTCCGGTGCTCCTCCGTCCACAGCCTCGTGATGGACCCCTGTTTAACTGTGTGTTGGACTTTGAGTGAAACGTGCAGGGCAGGATCTGTTCCACCAGCTACACCTGCTCTGTGGCTGTCTCACCATCAGCCTCGCAGCCGCTGCCCGCTCTCTGCGCTTCTCGTTTCTCTGCGGGTCTCATTTCTGCTCATCCCCCTGTCCTCTCCCTTCCTGTCCTCCCCGCTTTCTCCCCAGGAAAATGCCAGTGTGGTTGATGGCTCTGAGGAATGACTTACCTCCCTGGTGGTGGTATTCCGCCTGTTTGGCTGAAGGTGGAGCCATGGCCTCGGTCCCTGGTTTAAGGGCTATAGGCTCAGGGGTCCCATCAAGCACTATCAGACCCAGAAACCCAGGTATTATGCTTTTGTGTTCTGAGCCTTTGCTCCCACTCTGGTCCCTGTTTCTGCCCTTGTCTCTCATTCACCTCCTGTCCCAACACTCCCACCTCAGACCCGTTGCCCTGGATGCCTTTTGCTTTGGATTCTCTCCTTTCATTTTGGCAGTTCGCCCCGCTTTGCTTTTAGGTCTTGGCTTTGATGCTACCTCGGTAGAGACATCCTGTTCAAAATTGGCTTAAACCTCTCCCGTCTTCCTCCCTTAGCCCCCTCCTCACCGGGTGTCATCCTGTCTTACTGGTCCCCACCTTAGCTAGAGTCTTTGTATGTTTCCTCTTAAGTCCTCCCGTCCCAGCTGGAACGCAGCTTCCAGGACGGCACAGACCCTTTTGAGTCTCGCCCGCTGCCCCTCTGTCTCCCGTGCCCGACACGCAGCACATGCCCAGTAAGGGCCCCTGCCCTTGGGTGAGGAGGCAGGCAGGTGAGCATGACTGCGGGATCCACAGCGACCACCTGGATACCCCCCTCACAGTGTCGTCCTTCCTCGCAGAGAGCCCCAACACAGCAGGCGCGGGGGCCACGGGCGGCATCATCGGGGGGATCATCGCGGCCATCATCGCCACAGCCGTGGCCGTCACGGGCATCCTCATTTGCCGGCAGCAGCGGAAGGAGCTGACGCTGCAGGGCACAGAAGAGGAGGATGAGTGAGTGATGGGCGCTGGAGACAGAGATGGTGGGAGAGTGGGGGTGAGGGTGAAGGGAGAGGCAACCATCTGGAGGTGGCAGTGTGGTCCTGAAAGCACTAACAGGTTGACTGAACCTCCACAGGAGGAAGATGAGGCCGTCTGCGTCCCTAGATATTTAAAGCCTCAGAAACCCTATCGGCAGTTCTGTTCTGTCTTTTAATGTCACTGTGAGTCAGGATCACGTGGAAGGCAGGTTTGCTTCTCTTCCCTGCAGAGGCCTGAGCTGCTGACAGCGCTGCTCTGTGAAGTTGTTGGAGCCCAGGCTCCCGCGCTATTGTTGCTCCACCTTCCCCACATTTCAGGACGGTTGTCCACTCTCAGCAGAGCCGTTCCCATCAAGGTCTACGTACCTGACAACCAGATGCACTTGTTCTGTCTTCCAGACCCCTGCTGCTCCAGCCAGTGGGAAGGCTTTCTGTCCAGTTAAGCGACAGCTGAGTAGTACATCTCTGCTACTTCCTATTGGCCACAGTGTAGTCACATGTCTTCCTCCAGCTGCAGAGGAGGCTGGGAAATAACAATTTTTTCTCTTAAGTGACCCAGTGGCCAATTAAAACTGTGAGAAAGGTAGTACAGCCAGAATGTTCCTTCAAATCAAGGATGGCGAGGCTTCATTTCTCATACTTTGACTGTATCAAGAGGGACCGTTCCCTGGACAGATGGATTGTGCTTGGTAAAAACAAAACCAAACCCAACAACACAAAAATCTTGTCACCAGTGAGTTAGAATTGGCACATAACTGACCCACCATTGGTTTTCCGAGTCTGTAAATGGCACAAGAGGAGATTGCCTATCCTTCTCGCATGGAGTTGCTGGTGGATTGGAACCTCCAGAGAGGTTTGGGTTAGCGAACTCCCTGTGGGCTCTGGCACCAGAGCTCCAGACTAAGCCGAAGACCAGCAAAAAAAGAGGAACAATCCTCGAGGTGACAGGTGGACAACAGTGGGTCTAAGACAGCAGTGATGGAGGATGGCGCAGCACCAGGCAGGGCTTCGTTCTGCTTCTGCACAGGCTCACTGAGAGTTGGAACTGACTCCGTGGCACCTGACAAGAAGAGCCACACTTAGGCAGCAGGCTCAGTGAGATGTCCTGTACGTGCACGACCTCACAGAGGCGGCATTCATTCATTCATTCAGCAAGTATTCAGAAAGTGTCCATTCTGCACAAGGACCTGGACCGATTAGAGACTCTGCTTAGACAGACATTTTTAAAAAATGCCTTTACATTTTCAGTAAATACAGCACTTACTCTCAGAGGGAGGCAGCGAGACTCATCATGTCAAAGGGGAACCAATTTATTCATAAACTCTCTTCGTCTTTACGAGCAGCCTTATGAGTGTTTTTATGTCCTCCTTCTGAGAAGAGATAAAATATCCCATCTCATTGCTGTCCAATCAGGACTGACTCATAAGTGACCCGCCATTGTGTTTCCGAGGCTGTAAATCACACAGGAGGGGATTGCCTGTGTCGTTCCTGCAGATCTGGTGGATTCGGCAGAGAGACACCACCTTAGAGTTAGAAGTGCAGCTGCCTGCAGACGAGGTCACGGGAGCAACAGAGTAAATAGTTGTTACTTCACATACCAGTAAGTTAGAGCCCACCTATAGCTGACCACCCAGCAGGTTTTCAGAGGCTGCATATCACACAGGCAGAGTTTTGACCATCTTTCTGCCTTGGAGCAGCTGGTGGATTCGAACTACATGGCTTTGGGTTGGCAGTATAAGTCCTTACCAAGTACTACGCCATCAGAGCTCCTTAGAGTAAGAAGAGGGTCAAGAAAAAAGCAGAAGACCCTCAGTGAGCTGGACTGACACACTGACTACAGTGGTGGGCTCAGACACGGCAGCGTTTGTGAGGGGCTTGGTGGTGAGACATTTACCGTGTCCCCTTCTGTAAATCCATCATTCTCAGAGGAAGATAATGATGCACTTTTTTCCCCTTTTTGTCAGAGAAGGATGCATGTTGAGGGACATGAAATCTTTGCTGAAATTCATGCAGCAAACAGATCTTTCAGTGGCCATGTATACTTCTCAATTAACACCACCCGTGTGTGTATTGGGATCAGAGGAGGAAGACTTCTTAAACGTGCACATTCCCAGCCTCACCTCCAATCTCCTGCATCAGAACAATCAGAGAATAACTCAGTATTTGTAACCAAACCCAAAGCTCTCACCTTTGAATTGATACTGAATCACAGCGACCTCCCATGGGGTTTCCGAGGCTGTAAATCTTTAACATAGGAGACTGCCCAATTTTCTTCTGTTGAACCATCAGTAGATTTGAACTGCCAACCCTCTGATCAGTAATCCTGCCTATCAGGCTGTAAGCAACCAGTGTGTTGCTTCCTAAATTACTCTGTTTAGCAGGGAATGTGTGAATCATTGTCTTAACTTTCTATTATTGCTATCAAGTTGCCATCAACTCATAACTGACCCTCCACTGGGTTTCCAAAACTACAAATCATACAAAAGGTTGCATATCTTTCTTCCACAGAGCAGCTTATAGATTTGAACCACCTGCGTGTGGGTTGGCAGCACAATACTGAATATGTCACCAGAGTCACTTGAACTAGAGACTAGCCAATTCAGACCAACAGATTTCTTAGAGTCTCTTCCTGGGTGCCTGGATCCAGGAGCACCTGCTATCATGAGCTCATAACCCATGGAAGGAGATCTATCTGTCCTCGGGTAGTGATGACTCAGCTCAAGCTCTTGTTCAGTATACCTTTTTTGCATGGTCTCACCCTCATGGGGGTTCCATGTGCCTTGTTTCCATACTGAGAACACAGAGCAATCTAGGAGGGCTTCCTGGAGGTGGGGCATAGTAAACACCGTTTAGGAAACATCACCTTTTCCACCTTCCTTGAAGGAGTAACTGGGATGTCAGTCCTGTCTAACTCAAGGGGAAGGAGAATCCGTATCAAACAGCCCGAGCTTGGTTCCTACCAGCAGTAGTAGAAGCCAGATACACTTCCATCTCCCACCTTTTGACCTTCCCACAGCCATGCTGTCACTGCACTCTCTGTTCCTTTGCTGAGCTCGGTAACTTGTTGCAGTGACCACATACATTTCAACCACCATTCTCACAGTTACAGGGTTTATTAGAGAAGTAATAACCAGGGAGCTCTGCTGGCCTAATAGTAAGAAGCTGCAGTACAATCTCAAAGGCTTGCAGTTTGAATCCATCAGCTGCTCCCTGGAGGAAGGCTGGGCAGTCTTCTCTCATGCAGTTAATTGCCTCTGAAAACCTGCTGGAGGGTCAGCTGTGAGTTGGTTCTGACTTGAAGGCACTCAACAACAATGTTACAATTCAGAATCAGGAACAGCTCAGGAGATAGCTCTTTGGTCAAGCTGTTTGAGCTGTGCTTATAGTCTTGGCCCCTGCCCTGCTTGGACAAGTGGACAGGACTTTCTGACTGGTCACGATAATCAAGGTGGCTTTCTGGAAGAGGAGGGATTTGTGGACCAGGTAGGAGTTTGCCTGGTGGGGCAGGGTGGGGATGAATAGGAAGTTCCAGGCAGAGGGAACGGGATGTGCACTGGCCTTCCTGAGTTCTCACGTTGACTGGATCCATGTCCTTCCCCACAGCCTGGAGGGCCCTCCCTCATACAAGCCTCCGGCTCCAAAGACGAAGCTGGAAGAGCAGAAGATGGTGAGCTTGGCCGCTGATACCCAGGCTGTCCCTACTCTCTTCTCTTACCTACCTTTTTCTACCATGGACAGGGCTGGGAGGGGGACCTGTTGGGGAGCATCAAGCTTTGGGGTGTCCTGATCTGATCTCTCCCACTCCCCCCAGCCTTCTCAGCTCTTCACCCTGGGGCCCTCAGAGCACAGTCCTCTCAAGACCCCCTACTTTGATGCCAGTGTCTCATCTGCTGATCAGGTAGGAGCTTGGAGGGCAGAATGAGGGTGGGTCTGGGGCCTGGGTTTTAAGAGCCAGGGTCAGGCACTCAAGAAGTCAAGGATGGGGAAAAGAAATGCGAAGGATGAAAGGTCATAGCTTAAGGTCTGGGCTGTATCTGTGGTTAGAGCTTGGAGCCCAGAGGTTATGTCAGGGCATTGGGTTAGGGATGAGCTGTAGGACAATCCTAGTTCAGGGCTGACGTTGGGAAAAGGGCAGAGTTTGGGCAAAAGTGTGAGGACAGTTCTGATGGGATGGGACCAGGTGGTCAGGATTTGGGGATTAGCGGGATAGATTGTGGTGGTTTTGTGTTATGACCTTGGACTCCACTTCCTCTCTGCCCCCAGGAAATGCCGCGATATCACGAGTTGCCCACCCTGGAAGAGCGTTCTGGGTCCATGCTCCTGGGGGCCACAAGCCTGGGGGGCCCCGTCCTGGTGCCTCCGGGGTCACCGGCTGTGGAAGCCATTTCCCTGGACCTAGATGATGACGATGAGGAAGATGACTACCTGGACAAGATCAACCCCATTTATGACGCCCTGTCCTATGACACCCCCTCTGGATCCTATCAGAGCAAAGGCTTTGTCATGTCCCGGGCTATGTATGTCTGATCCCTCAAAGTCCTGCCAGGGATCGAGTGCCCCTGACTCTAGACAGGCCACTATCAACACATGGGCATCTCATTTGTGACATCCACCTTGGTGTGTCTGCTATGACCATTAAGCCAGAGAAACCTGCCACGAGAAGGGAACCCTAATCTCATGAGGTCATTGGGTATGACCTCTGACCCAAGGACTCCTCTCAAGACCTAGAACATTCCTCTCATCTTCCAGCTGGTATCTCCAAACGCCCCATGATCCCAAAGGAGACCCCAGACCTCAGAAAGGAAACTCCCTATGGCTCTGATGGGGTGGGGCTCTCTGCTGCTCCGACCTGAGCCCTCCAGGCGGCAAAGTCCCCTCACTCATCCCTAGACCCCCCCTCCCCCCATCTGATCCCTGAAGGAGGGTTCCTCAAGCCAAGGCAGAGCTGCACATCTCCCTCCTGCAGGCAGGAGTCTCAGGGTCCGGCCCTTTCCCAGTGCTGGTGAGGTCCCAACCTTGGTAGAAAAGGCTGCTGTTACCATGGAGACTACTGAGTCCTTTTTGCCCCCTCGCACAGGGATGGGGACCCAAAAGCACTCTGGGGCCAAAGTGGGTCACCTGCGTTTAGGGGTAGGGGACCTGATACTGTTTTGTACGCTAACATTTTCAACAAAATACAAGTTTATACTCAAGAGCAGCTCTGGTGTTTTCTGTGGAATGAGATGAGGGTGTGGATAAACAAGATATAAAGTGTGCTAGAGGTCAGATGGGTTACAGATTGAAACAAAGACCAGAGGATGTGTGTGTGTCTCTCCCTAGTGGCATGGTGCCTAACATGTAGGGGCTGCTAACCAAAAGGTAGGCAGTTTGAATCCACGAGCATCTCCAACTAGTAATGGTTTACAGCCTCAGAAACTTGAGGGAAGGGAGTTATGAATCAGAGGGCAATGGCTTTATCTATATATAGAGACTAATGAGCACAAAAGATGCTAGAAGGGAGGAAGAACTACAAGGCACGATGCGTAAAGAAGACTAATCAGTGTACCAGCGAGCTAATGAGTAATGAGCAGCAATAAAGGGAACAAAGATAGAAATAGCAGTAATCAAGGGAGTTGATGGAGAAATGACAAGAATAGGCCACAGGCAAAATGATGAATAATGTTCCAATAAGAGCCCAGGGCCCGACGGGTAATGGATCAGAATGAATGAGCCAAAGGCAGAGTGATGAATAATGGAGAAACGGGTCGCGGGCATGATGGGTAATGGACAGGAATTAATAGACCCAAAACATGATGGGTAATTAAAGGAGAAAGGCCAGAAAAATGATGGAAGTGAACAGGCAGGAATGGGCCACAGGCACTACGGGCAATCAAGCTGAAATGAATGGGGCAGAGGCATGATGGGTAATGGGATAGGAATGAATGGGCCAAAGATAGAAACTGCAGTGACAGGACGGCGCGAAGCATGATGGGTAGCGAAAGGGGTGGGTCAAAGGCCGAGTTTGCATTAATGGAGCATTATGGGTAACAAGGGAGTAGGGAAGGGGTCACATAACCGGTTTGAGTTCCCCCAAGGTACTGTGGGAAGGATTGGCACTTCCGGTTTTCAGTCCGCGACTCAAAACCAGAGCATTGCCCCTCTGTCGCGTTGCCTGGTGGGATGCGAAGCCTGACCTTGCTGCTTAACAGCTTTGCCGCGCAACCCACCTTTACTAATGCCCTACGACCCTAACACATTAACCAATGAGCGCATCCAATTCATTACACTTAAAGATCGGCCCCCTAATTAGCTTGAGCCAATCAGTATGCGACAAGAGCTAAAACTGACCAATGGGCATGGCATTTTTGCTGTGGGGCGGAGTCTGAGGAAGGAGGCCTAGGGAAAGTGGGCGGAGGCGACATGTTAGTGGGCGGTACAAAATTTGGAGCATAAGCCAATAGAGAGAGGGTCCCAGAACCCGCGGCGTTAGGACCCAATAGGAGCAGGTACCTCTAGCCAATAGACAAGAAGGGAGGTGTTCTGTGACCTGCCTGAGAGCACTGACCATTAGAAAGTGACCTTCGGAAGAGGTGGGTGGGACTCACAGCTGTAATTCCAATAGCAAAGCCAAATGGTGGACCTAGTGGGCGGACCCGGAGACACATTGAACCAATGGGCTAGGCGGGGCGGGACCACGGTGGTGGCGGCGGCGGCAGCGGGTTCGGTTGCGCTTGGCGCACGGGGTGGGAACGGAGGCCAGGCCGGGAGCAGGCGCCGCCGCCGCCAGTGAGAACCTGGATCAAGCTTTAGGGCGGGGGGAGGAAACATCTAGTGACTAGGTCCGGGGCACTCGGGCCCTGACCTCCGGCCTTTGACCTCTCCCCGGCAGTCGACCATGGGGAACGTGTTGGCCGCCAGCTCGCCGCCCGCTGGGCCGCCGCCGCCGCCTGCGCCTGGCCTCGTGGGACTACCGCCGCCTCCACCTGCGCCGCCTGGCTTTACACTCCCGCCTCTCGGGGGCGGTCTGGGGTCCGGGGCCAGCGCGGGGCGAGGTTCGGAACGGACTCCCGGGGCCGCAACCGCAAGCGCCGCCGGGGCCGCGGACGATGGGGCCGGCAGCTGCCTGCCAAACCCCGGCACGTTCGAAGAGTGCCACCGGAAGTGCAAGGGTGAGGGGAGACAGGGCCCCTGCGGGGGGTGATGGCCAGACTCCTGCGTGGGGGCAAAGGGGACATCATCGGGGCTTGACGTGAATCATTTTACTGAGTGGTAGAGGTGGACGTTGGGGTCGGGTCGTTGAATTTGGAGTTCAGAAGGCTGAGATCAGATGGTGGAACTTGAGGTGGAATGCCAAAGCTGTAGGAATAATCCGGAGGCGCGTCGGGGATCAGCCACGCCGGCCTCCTAGTGTGGCTAGGGAGGGAACTGAGGCCCAAGGTCACAGCGTCAGCAAGGTGTCATGGGGAGGTTGGAAGCCGGGGCTTCCGGATCCTGACCTGGAAGCATTAATGTAGAAGCGGTGGTGGAGGCACATGGAGCTTCATTCTAGCGTGCGCTTAGCTAACTCATGAAACTCGTGGAACCGATCTGATGAGCGTCCCCAGCTTAGAGATGAAGTTCATGCACAGAGATCGTCACTTAGCTGCTCACACATGTAAGCGCAGGGGCGCTGGACCACCTCCACCAGGCTATCCCGCCTCTCTTCTAGGGCCACTGGGGTGTTAATGTCAGGTATCCAGCCTGGCCGTAGGGGTCTGAGCAGGGTCACAGCTGGGAATGAAGCAGAGGAGGGTGTGTGTGTGTGTGTGTAGCGGGGTGTGACAGCTGTTCTCCTCTCCAGAGCTGTTTCCTATTCAGATGGAAGGTGTCAAGCTCACAGTCAACAAAGGATTGAGTAACCACTTCCAGGTGAGCCCCTCTGGAGCCCCTGTCCCCCAGCGGTTAGCCCAGCCGTCCCCCTGCATCTGTGTGCACAGCCCCCTTACTCTTCATCCTAAGGAGGATTGGGGCTTGAAACAACCCGGACACTGCCAGATCACCTGCTTAGTGGGGACTGATGGGGGGGAGCCTAGAACCCTTAGAAACCCCAAAGTGGCAGATCCGCAGTCCTAGCGCAATGGGGAAGCAAACTGATATGTTGCGGCCAGCCTAGGCTGGGGCCAGTGGGCCCAGCGGTGGTCACTGGTGGCTGGCCCCCCAGGCTCACACACACTGTCCCCTCTCTTTTCCCAAGGTGAACCACACAGTAGCCCTCAGCACAGTCGGGGAATCCAACTACCACTTTGGAGTGACGTATGTGGGCACTAAACAGCTGAGTCCCACAGAGGTGAGGTCTCTGTCCCCACTTTTTCATTGATTCTTTCTTTGAACAAATATGTAGCCAAGAGCCAGCAGGACTTGAGAGCTGCCAGGTGGGGAGTTAGGGGCACAGTCTGTAGAGTGCCTGAGACCTGGGGAGTATGGCCATTCTGCAAGGTCCCCGAAACCCCAGCCCTGTCCTCAGTGATGCCACAGACATTAGGGCGGCCAGGACTTTTGGTGATGACCGGAGTGGGCGGCGCTGGTGCTTTGACTGTCAGGCCAGCATCTGAGTTCAGGGATGGCTTGAATGAAGGAGAGGTGGGGTTGGATTTTATGGGTTAGAAATACCCATGAGGTTTCTTTTGGTGCTTGGATTGGGGGGGAAGGAGGCAAGACTGGGCTGTGGCAGACACACGTGAGATAAGACGGGCCTTCCTGAACGCTTGATTCGGGGGGGAAGGGCTTCCTTCAGGGCCTAGTTCTGCTCTGACAGACAGTTGCTCTGACCGCAACTCAATGGCATTGTTTTTCTTTTTCTGTTATTATTAATATTTATTCGTTCCTAAAACCTCCATTGCGCCCCGGTTGTGTGCCCCGCTCCTTGCTGGACAGGGCTGGGGACAAAGCAGTGACCACAGCAGCCTCTGTCCTGCCCCTTGGAGGCTTACTGTCTAGTGGGAGTAGGCAGACCTGTCCCGGAGGCTGATCATCCTGAGAGGGCAGGGAGGAAGTGGGCGAGACAGGTGGTGCAGTGGGTGAGTGCTTGGCCTCTCATGGAAAGGCTGGCAGTTTGATCCCACCAGCCACTCTGCAGAATGATGTGGCAGTCATCTGTCAGATTTACTGCCTTAGAAACTCTCCTCCGTCCGGTAAAGGTGCTGCGTGAGAATGAACTCTACAGTAGGGGTGTGGGGACCCTAGGTCATCATGGAGGGCTACCTGGAGGAGGAGACCCGGTATAAGGCTTTCTGTCCCTGGACCTCTCTCTCGATGGTGCCCTCTGACTTTGCCCTCTCCCCCCTCCCAGGCATTCCCTGTGCTGGTGGGTGACATGGACAACAGCGGCAGCCTCAACGCTCAGGTCATTCACCAGCTGGGCCCAGGCCTCCGGTCCAAGATGGCCATTCAGGTGAGTGGAGCCTCAAGCCAACAGCTCTCCCAGCCACACGCTGCACCAGCTGGCCTCACACTGTCCTGTGTCCCTCGCAGACCCAGCAGTCCAAGTTCGTGAACTGGCAGGTGGACGG